GAGGAATTGGACTACACGGTATCAGACGTGCTCTTAGAATCTAGACAGAACATCTCACAAACAATCTGTTGACTAGCAAAAGGGAAAATTAATGGACCTGAGCTCATCCCAGCACAGTTGGAGAACAAATGATAGTCGGATATAGCAAGGTCAGGCTCAGCAAGTAATAGCTGAGCTTTGGATCCAGGCTAGCTGTATACCATTTTTCTGGCAAGTTACATTTTATGCTTCTATAGGAGTAAGTAATCCTACTAAGACAAGCTCCCGAATGGAGTAGCTAGAAAATGCTTGTGACACTGGGACAGCAAGGAATAATTTACCTGTCAGATTTATGGAGAACAGAAGAATTTATGAACAAACAGGAGATACAGAACACTATGAAATGCAAAATGGATAATTTTGATTACATTAAATAGAAAAGTTTTTGCACAGACAAAGCCAATTAACCAAGATTAGGAGAGAAGCAGAAAACTGAGAAAGAATTTTTACAACCAGTCTCTCTGATAAAGGCCTCATTTCTAAAATACATAGAGAATTAAGACAAATTTATAAGAACACAAGCCATTCTCCAATTAAGAAATGGTCAAAGGATATGAACAGGCAGTTTTCAGATGAAGAAATTAAAGCCATCTATAGTCATATGAAAAAACGCTCTAAATCACTATTGATTAGAGAAACACAAATCAAAACAACTCTGAGGTACCACATCACACCTATCAGATTGGCCAACATGACAAAACAGGAAAATGATAAATGTTGGAGAAGATGTGGAAAAATTGGAATACTAATGCATTGTTGGTGGAGTTGTGAAATGATCCAACCATTCTAGAGAGCAATTTGAACTATGCCCAAAGGGCTATAAAAATGTGCATACCCTTTGACCCAGTAAAACTACTTCTAGGACTGTAGCCCAAAGAGATCATAAAAAAGGAAAAAGAACCCACATGTAAAAAAATATTGATAGCTCTTTTTGTGGTGGTGAAAAAAATCAGACATTGAGGGGATGCCCATCAATTGAGGAATGGCTGAATAAGTTGTGGTATGTGAATGTAATGGAATACTATTGTGATATAACTCATGATGAGCAAGCAGACTTCAGAAAAACCTAGAAAGAACTGTATAGACTGATGCTGAGTGAAATGAGCAGAGCCAGGAGAACGTTGTACACAGTAACAGCCACATTGTACAATGACCAACCTTGACAGACTTAGCTCCTCTTAGCAATGCAGGGATCTAAGACATCTCCAAAAGTCTCATGATGGAAAACGCTGTCCACACCCAGAGAAAGAACTGTGGATTTTGAACGCAGATCGAAGCATACTATTTGCTCTTTTTTTTTCCTTCTGTTTTGTTTTGTTTCCTCTTTCTTGTGGTTCTTCCTACTGGTTCTAATTCTTCCTTACAACATGACTAATGTGAAAATATGTTTAATAGCAATGTATATGTAAAGTCTATATCAGATTGCATACCATCCTGGGGAAGGAGGAAAATAAAAATTTTAAATTCAAAAGCTTATAGAAGTCATTGTTGAAAACTAAAAATAAATTAATAAAAAGAAGACTTTATGTATAATTGGTTTAAAAAAGAGAAAAAGAAAATGCTTGTGACCCTAAAACCTAGATTGTTTACCTACTGAAAGGCCAGGAACACTGAAGGAATTTTTAACCCTAGGAATGTGCACCCAAAAACACTCTACATACAAATAATTATCACGTAAGCATATGAAGAGTTAATTGGACAGGGAAAGAGTAGGAGTTGCCAGACCTGTTAGGAGCTGTCCTAGGGCACAGAATTGGCATAGTTTGTGTATGGCAATATAGGAGAGAGTCTAAGGAATATTGACATTTTTAACATGGAATAACGGGTGAATTGTGATAGAAATGGTAAAGTAAGGAGGAAAAGAGTTAGGGGAAAAGATGGATTTGGGAAATGTGGAGTAGATATAGCTACAGATCTCTCTCTCCATACATATATACATATATGTGTGTATACACACACACATCAGAGAGATGTAGACACAGATGCAGGTCTAGAGGTAGAGAGCTCAGAGTTAGATACGGATTTAAGCGTCATCCACATAAAGATGTTTAAGTTGTGGGAGATTATCAGACTTCCAAGTGAGAGATGATAAAGAAAGAAACAAAGAGTCAAGGACCTAACATTGGAGAAAATACCTTAAGGTACTGAGAAGAGGCAGTGCCAGAAGGTGCTGTCAGAAGAGGAAAGAATTTCTATCCAATAAGGTGTTCAATCCCTCCACATAGCCATCTAGAGGAATGAAAAGGTCAAGAATCTCATGGGAAATGATGAGAAAAGTGTAAAGAAAGGGGACCTAGCAGCACAGAGGTCAAAGTAAACTAACAGGCATCAGTCACCAAAAGAACATCATACCAGTTAAATATAGAGTGAAACAGATGAGTACACAATCACGTCGGAATTAGGCACTTAAATGAAACGCTTGTTTCCTTCCTTCCTTCTTCTTGTTGTGGTCGATAATTGGAAATTAAAGGTATGCACAATGACTGTGGAATAACTACAAGAACACAATGAAATACTATTGAAAAAATGCTGAAAGGGGGTCACGAGCTCTTCCACATTACAAAGTCTGTCTGTCTTCCTCTTCTCTCCTTCTGGAAACGATTCAAATGCCTTAGTAGAGCCCCTGATCCTATTCCCCCTTCAGCATGGCTTCTCCTACTGCCTCCCACACCCCTTGGGTGACTGCTTCATCTATCAGTAACTCTCTCTCTCTGGCTTTGGACCTCTCCCTATCAGCTACTTTACACTTCCCGGAAAATATACTCAAGTCTCCACTGCCCTCAAAGAAAGCTCCTTGACCTGCCAACACGATATCGAGGGAAACAAAGGCTTCCGTGAGGCGAGGAGGGCTCTCCTCATTCTGGCCATGGGGGCCAGGCACTACAATGATAAAGAAACAGCCGGTGGGAGATGGATGAATCTGAAAGCCAGTATGGCTGGAAAAGAGAGTACGTAGAAGGAAGTACAGCACAATAAGGCTGGACAGGTAGGCTGGGGCCATTTTGTTAAAGTCTTTAAATGTCAAACAGGAGCCTACAGTTGATCCTGGAAGTATTCAGGAATCACTAGAGTTTGCCTAAAAGATTGTCACAATCTAACTGTACTTTTGGAAAATCATTTTGGCGAATGTGGAGAACGGACTGGGTTGTGGAAATCTAAGGCAGCGAGACCAGTGAGGAAGCTATTGCAAGCGTCCACGGGTAAAGGGTGATGAGGGCCTGAACTCAAGTGGTGTGACTGCATGAGTGGAGAGAGGCCCACACTCACTGCTCTTCCCAACTAGTTATTCAATCCTCAACCCCTGGCAACTTCATGCTTACTTCACCCACACTCCACTGAAACGTGTTCAAAGCTCAGCAACGAGATTGCTTGAAATCTTATAGCCTTTTCTTAGGTGGTTGTTCTTGACTTTTCTACAGCATCAGAGACTGTTTAACAACTGCCTCCTCCTCAATACCCACTCCCTCCTTGGTACTGTGGAATTCTGATTCTCCCGTGGTAGCGTCAGAACCCTGGTACTTATTATTCTTTCTTCTTCTTCAGATTACAAGCTCTTCCACAAATGGCAGAATTAAAACTAGAAGGGAAACCGTCTGGTCCAACCTTCTCAGCTTTACAGAGGAGGAAACTGAGGGCCAGGAACTTTAACAGCAGACTGCAGAATGGGGATCCTGACTCCAAACCCGGCCCTTTTTACGCCAGCATACTGCCTGTTTTCCCTACTGTTATTTCCTTAACTAGTATTTCTCAACTCACAATAACTGATAAAGAAGAGGGAAGAACAGGAAAATAACTCATACCACTGGCCACAGTTGTTATTAAATCTGGCTACCTGCATGAAAAACACACTGTGTTTTATGCTCAGGTTTGACTTTCCTAGGAACCATTAGATCCCATCTCACCCTTCTGGGGTGAGAAGTGTAGCACTGCTACCACTCCTCCCACCCAACTGCTTTTAATTAAATCAATAAACTTTCATTAAGCACCTAAAATCAATCAGTAGGCATTTATCATTTAACATTTCCTGTACGCTGGAGTAACAAAGACTAATGAAAATGAAACAATCCTTCCCTCTAGAAGCTCACCTTCGATTGTGGGAAACACGTCCATATATAAAAGCAAATTAAATACACGGTAATTTCAGGTGGATGAGGGAGGATCTTATGTAGGAACTGACAGGTGAGCTCACCTTTAAAGGAAGTAAGGAATTCTAAGAAGGTGTCACGAGAAAGGAGTAGTGAAAGGTTCTGGGAAGAACAGCTCACATAATCAGAATGGGGAAAGATTTACTGGCACCTCTGACCGGCCATGAGGGTCAATAAATCCCGATGGAGAGAACAGAATACGTCATTTGTTTCTAAAAGCCGGCCCCGCGGGAATCAGCAACACAACAATTGTTCATTTGGACACCCATCCGGCTGCCAAGAACAGAGTGGGAGGCGCGCACCTCTCTTGCGGCCCTGGCCTGTCACCCGCCACGGAACCCCACTGGAAGCACTGGGGGGAACGACTGGCGGTGCACGTGGCCTCGCGGGCTGCTCTGGGGCCGGGGGGTCTACCCCGCAGCCGGCTCGCTTGGGGGGCATCGGTGCGCACGGGGCCTCCGCTCCTGGCGGGCAGGGCCCGGCTTGGGCCTCTGGGGGGTGTCCCCGGCGCTCAGTATTCAGTAGGCGCTGGATAAATGTTGAAGCTGCCTAGAATCGGTGCCACAGAGGCCGACGTGCCCCGGACGCCCGGGCTCGGCTCCAGCAGACGCTCAGGGCAGCTCGGCCGACCCAGGCCCGCCGGGGGCTCCCGGAGCCGTCCTCGGCCGCGCCCCCTAACTGGGACGAGCCGTCCAGGGGGAGCCGCGGGCCCCGCAAAGGCCCAACGGTCACGGCCGTCGACGCGGCGCTCGGGGGGCGGGTCCCCAGCTCGGCCTCGCCGGGCCCAGGGGCCAACGGCCGACGCCCCGCTCTCACCTTCGTTCAGCTCCCGGCCCGACAGGTTGAGCTGGCCGCTCTTCCGGGCCGCCTTCAGCAGCCCCTGCGGGACAACGGCGCCGCTGTCGCCCCTCTCGAGACGGAAGCCCGCCCGGAGGTCCCGGCCCGAGGCCGAAACCGGCCTCTTCAGCCGCGACATGTCGGAGCTCCCGCCTCACTTCCAAACCGCCCCGCCCCCCCCGTGGCGCAGAAAGGCCGCGCAGCGCCGCCGCTCGCTCTGCCCAGGGACGTAAAAACGACGCGCCGCGTCCCGCCCCCCACCCCAACCCACCCCACCCCCGGTCGCGCGCTTCTGCGCGAGGCCACCGCCTCGCCAACCTCGTGACGAGCAAGCAGCGCGCCCCGCCCGGGCCAGCGGCGCGCGAGGGGAGGGGGTCACGCGGACACCGAGCCCGGACGCGGTGTGCGCGATGACGTGAACGTCGGCGCGCCTGTGACGTTGCCAGCGGCGTCTGGGGCCCGGAGGGAGGGAGGCAGGAAGGAAGATCCTGGAGAGGCGCCGGGGCTGACTGCGTGTTCCTCTAAGCCAGCGTCCTCCTCAGGTAAGCGGCGTCGAGGCCCCGACCAGGCCCGCCCAGCGCCCGCCGCGGGCTGGGGGCCGGGGGTTGGAGGTGGACGGGGCGTCTAGGCCCTCCGGGAGCCGAGGCCGGGGGGGCGGCCCGTCGGCCGGGAAGGCCCCGCGGAGCGCGCAGGCCGCAGGCCGCGGCGAGGCTCCCTAGGCCTGGGCCGTGTGCGCCCGGCACGGATGGCGGCCCCGCGGGAGGCCCGCCCGAGGCTGGGGCTCCCCCGGAAGCCCAGCGGCATCGTGGCCGCCCCGACTGGGCTCGAGAGGCCCGGAGGACCGTGCGAGGCGGGCGGGGGCGTTAAGCAGGCCCGCTGGGGAGCCGTCACGAGCGCCCGAGTGCCGGCGGGCCTGGCGAATGAATGTCTCGGGCGCCAGGCAGGAGGCGAGGCTGCGAGGGCCGAGTGGTCAGTACGGCCCCGAGTGGCGGGGACCCTCCCGAACCTACAGCGGGCCGAGCGTCCCAGGACCCCCAGTCCATCGGCCTCGTTTTCATGGGTTAGGAAACAGGCCGGAGTGGACTGAGCCAAGGGCAGTGGATATGAAAAGTGAGAAAACCCTCGTCCCTTAACTTCCCGTGTGACCTTGGCCATGTCATATATAACCGCTTTGGGCCTCAGTTTCCTCACCTGTAAAATAAGAGTGTTGGATTGTCTGGCCTTTCAAGGCATCTTCTTTGACTCAGATACACAGAAAAGCACTGATTGTGTGTGTACAACGAAGGCGTCGTACCACCTCGGACGGAAGTCCTTCAGCCAGCATGTGTTAAGCACCTACTGTGAACTAGGCACTGTGATAGGTGCAGACATACTGTAAACAGCCCCTGCCCTCCTGGAGTTAACGTTTTATTCTTCTCCCTCATTTTAAATCAATCGTTCACTAAACAGTTATTAAGTCCCTAGTATCTGTCGAGGATTGTACACTGGGGATACAAAAAGACAGTCCCCCTGCCCTCAGAGAGTTTATAATCTAATCAGAGAGACGGCATACAAACAAATATACCTGAAGCAAACTACAGGCAGAATAAATAGGAGATTAGGATTGGGAAAGACTGGCTATGGAAGGTGGGATTTTAGTTGAGAAACCAGGGAGGTTAGCAAGTGGATGAGGAAGGAGAGCATTTAAAAATGAACAGACTGAGGCAAGTAAAATGGAATAGACCTGTCCAGAATCTCAGAGGTAGCATTGGAGAAATGACTTAAAATCAGGTCTTCTGATTCCGGATATACTCATATTTCCACTACTTAACCAGGGACATGATTTGATCTGCAGTTTCCCATTTCTTTTCAAGAAAAAGTGCAAACACTCATACAAACACACAATGGAAGCCTTCCACTGGCTTTTCACTATAGGTGAAATCTGGGATAGATGGATTGTCACCAATTGAAATATTGAGTCTGCAAAAAAATGAAGCATAGCCTCTAATTTTGTGTTAGTGTACTTTAGCTTATGAGAATTTCCTTTTCTTAACTCATTCCTAATACTTAATGTATAAAATAGACTCGTGGTGTAGATTTCCAGATAACTCATGAGAAATTAACATCTTCATTATTGATGTTGAATTACAATACAGTATTGGAAAAGGGGTCCAGTTGATAGAAAAAGAAAAATCGTTTGTTTCGGTTGTGACATTAAGCAAGACTCTTTCTGAGATATTGGAATAATTATTTTTGCAAGTTAATTGATTTCTTCTTCTAAAAATTGTTACATACTTATATACATATTCGTAGATGCTATGCCCCTTCAATAGCTAGGGTTTGGTTAGTTTTCGTCTGAAATCTCCATGAATTCATATGAGGAGGCAGAAGGGTAATAGAAAGGAGGACTAACTCTGGAGTCTTGAGGGCCTGGATTCAAATCCTGTCTCTGACACAACTTCTGTGACGTTAGGCACATCGTTTCACTCCCCTGAGCCTCAGTTTCATCATCTGTAAAAGGTTGGACTGTCTGGTCCCTGAGGGCCCTTCCAACTCTCCATGTGTGATTTTGCCTCTGACTGATGTTAGCTGTGTGACTCGGGAGAAGTCACTTAATGGTTTAGTACTCGAGGCAGCTTTCTCAGACTGTAAGTTGCAGAGGTGTTAGCCTACATTGTTACAGAAGGGGTCTCCTCGATGAGGATTCTAGTCTGTACCGGCAAAATCACAGGCATGCTTCCCAACCCTAAGCTTAGCACCTAACATGGTGCCTCACACGGTAAGTAGGCATTTGTTAAATGCTTACTGATGGATCAGGAGTAAGTTCAGTGGCAGAAAATGGAAGGGGTGGGGTTGATGGTTCTAAGATTTTTACTTTTTAAACTTTGGAACCAGGTATGCACAGATGAAATATTCCATCAGTCAGCTAAATTAATAATAGAAAAACTATCACAATTTTTGTAGTGAGTTGATGGAAATTTTTACAGCTGGTCAGCTTGAAGCTTTCTTTAGTGAAACAGGTAGACTTTAAAGCAGTTAGCTCAGCGTCAGAGAGCCTGCAGTCTTTTTTTTTTTAATTCCAAATTTTGGTTAAAATACTTAAACACAACTGTAATTGCATCATTCCTTCTGTGTCCTCATAGTTGTTCAGCAAAAAGAATAATAATAATGATAATCTTGGTCTGCTTTTTTTTGTGATGAGACTCTGAATTTAGGACAAAAAACTGTCTGTCCTTACAATGAAATTTTTCCAACTTAGTATGTAGTCTTCTAGTCCAATGGTGTCAAACTCAAATAAGAAGTGGGGGGGGAGATCTGTGTACTTTTAAAGATGTAATATTATCTGTGTTTTATTGTATTTATATTTATTTTGTTAAATATTTCCCAGTGACCATTTTACTGGTTTGGGCTTCACTCTGGTAGTGCTGAGGTGCAGCTGTGTATTTGACACGTCTCCTAGACCAGTCTTTCTTGCACTCAACTGACATAGCATAGCCTGTGGGAATGGAGGAGAGTGCACCTGGATGGAGCATCTTGGTGTGTTATTAGTGGGGATTTATTGACAGGCATCTTTTCAACATACACATTGTAGTTTCTTCTAAGATTTAAAACTGAAATAGGGTTAAAATCCATCATTAATAGTGACATTTCAAAATATTACAATTTGTGAGGAATAGAGACTTCACAGATTTCTTAAGCGATCACATTCAAATGTGTGGATTTCTGTACTTTTGTTTTCTCTCTAAATGAAAGAAAAATAGCCAGTAAGTTATTATTCTGTTTCACCGTAGAAAAGATTGTCAAAAGCCTTATAGATATAGATCTTAACTGTAACACATTTAAGTGTAACTGTGTTTGTCAGTAACCGTATTTGAAGACATTTGTTAGTTAATACTAACAACATTGTTAATATTTAGAATTCCATTTTTAAAAAAGAAAAACACTTTAATGCCCTTTGAACTCATTTTCCACCCAAGCATATGCCATTATTTCCAAAGTCTGGAGGGCAAACTTGTTTTGACTTGGAGGAGGAGGCAATAAGCACGAAAATTTGAATTATAACATGAAACATTTCTTTACCTTTTAACTTTTAAAATGTGAATCATTTGGTAAACTTTAACATTTCTATTTTGTAACAATTTTATTTTGTAAAAATCAGGTATAATTACTATCTTGATGAGGGTTTGTTAATTTGGTTTAATGATATAATACATATGTACATATTTGTAATGTTAAATGCTTTGTTTTATGTTCATATATGCTTTTTAGGCTAAGGACTGGACCTGTCATTTTATTGGTATAGGAAGCTTCCAGATAAGGGAACCCCCTCTACAAAAGCAGATCCTCTCTTTCATTTTTCCAACATAACTACCGAGTGACTTACAGGATAGAGGAAATGACTTGCCCAGGGTCACCTACCTAGCCAGTTTGTGTTTAGAGGCGGTGCTGGAGCCCAAGCCTTCTTAGCGCCTGGGCCGTCTCTCTAATCTCGGTGACATCCTGCCTCACTACTTATTCCTTGAATAAAATGTTCAGATGTCCTGCCTCATTCCTACCTTGTGTGGCAGAGGAAAACTATTTGCATAATAATATTAAAATATTTTAACTTCTAGCATGGTTTATAAATATTACAGACAACCAAGCTACCTAAACAAATCTCATTTGTTTTTAAGATCATAAAGAGGCCTTGATACAAAAAAAGTTTGAGAATCTTTGCTCTAAATGAACCTGAACTGAAAATGAAACTATTTAGAGAACATATTTTTGTGTGTTCTCTCTTCAAAAGTTATGTTCATAGCCTGGGTCTCCAGTTTCTCATTTTCCAAAAAAGTTGTCTTATGAAAATTCAGATTAAACTAATCCCTCCTTTTTAAAATTCTATACCAGATAACCTGCCTTTAAAAAAAAAAGTATTAACTCTGTGTCTTATTTCTGTGATAGCAACAAATATTGATGCATTTTTACTTGTAGCCTCAAGGGGACACTGTAGAGCTGCTGCTCTTTCTATAGTTTCCCCCGACAGACACCCTTGCCAACAAAATAAAATAGTTTTCTACGTCCTTGGAGTAACATTAGTCAGCTTGTAGCATTTCTGTTTTCTCAGCTGATAAACGAGTCAGCTGCCTTGCAAGACTCTAGTTTTGCCTCAGATATTTCAGATGCTTTTCCAGGTCTGCTTAGAGGCTCTAAACTCTTTCCACCATAA